AGCTGGCTGGGATTCTCCACGCGGGAACTTTTTTTGTTTTTTTTCCCCCCTTCCCCTTCGCTGTTCTTTTTGGATCTAAGGTTATCAAATCTATTTCTTGCTTTTACTGTGTTACGCCGAGGAGTTTTGACTGTGCTTCTTCTCCCGTCGGCCTACCTACCGAGGGTGCACACCACGGTTTTCAACCTACACGAAGTGCGCTGTATGTGTGTGTTTGTGTGTGTGGTTTTGAGAGTTCGCGATATCAATAGCTACGAGATCTATCAATATAGATAAACATGCACCAGATACGTTAAGCTTTCTAGTAACGATGTAGCTCACTTGTATTTCGTAGTTGCAATTTGATCTTGGTAGCCAATACCGTGGTTTGCATTATTCACAGAGCCATCTTATTACGTACGTGCCGAGCAACTCTCTGTCTCTGTGTGTAAAAGCATCCTCCGCAGCGGAGCTGCGAGCAAAGTCCCTGGGACTGTTTGCGGTGGTGGTTTGTTGACTTTGGAATGCCCGCTCCGTGACCATCGAATGAGACTCGAGGATTCCTTGCTCCGTCAACAGCCAACACAGTTCAAGCGATCCAACGCACCGTAAGGCTGCGAACCGAACTGCCTTGGACAACCCAATTCCGAGATGAGGTTTCGAAATAGCACGTACGGATACAGATTCAACCCCTCCTTTTTTTTTTTTTTTCCTCCAGCAACGGCGGCAAAGAATAAGATGGCCCCGGAGAACCACCGGAGGAAAGAAACCCCTGCTTAGCTTGTCTTCAGGGGACTACGTGCTAAGCACCTACGGTAGCCAAATGGAAAGAACAAAAAAAAAAAAACACGCGACAGCGGGTTCGGGAATCGGGAGTTCAGAAGCGAGGGGCAGATACCCAACCCAAGTCCCCCCAAAATGGAGGGGCGACGTCGGCGGGGTAAAGGACAAGGTATGGGAAGACAGGAGCGCATTGTATCGGGTTGCGTCGCACTTTCCGACTCAAATCGGCTGAGCATTTTCGCATGTCAGCTCAGTCTGTCACCCACTGCAGCGCCGCACCACTCACTACACCGACGGCAGCCCAGCCGTGGCCGTCTTCGTTGTCGCACACTCCCGTCACTTAGATTGGCACATTTCACTTCCGATCGCGGAACTGCGACTCGACGCGCCGTTCTTCGGACACTTTCTTTCTTGTCAATCAATCTCCCGTTCATGCTAGCCTGCTTCTGTGTGGTCCTGGGTTCCAGTCCAACCACTCACCACACCTTACGAATTGCAATGATCAATTCACATGTGTCGCAAATCTTCGTCTCTACCATTTTCTTATCTTGAACCTTCAAGTGGCATAATGGAGAAACCAAAAGAACACCCCATGGGTCTATGCAAGACATGACGCCTGCTGCGTCATGGGCCAGATTGTGACAAGCCCCCTTTCCCTTTTCCCAGATAATTCTCTAGTGCCGCCATCAGCGCTGCCGCACCAGCATCGACGATTTGGGGAGAAGTGTACGGACAGGCGAATGGTAGATGGGCTTCTAGCGTCGTAGAGCTAGAAGCCCAGCTTTGAAAACTTGAAGATTTGATCTACCTTGCTGTATCTCGACACCCAGGGCAACCAATAAGAGACGGTTGATAGGACTACAGTTCGGCTCTTGTTCCCAAGTGGCACGCCACGGCATGCAAGGCCATTTCCAATGACAGCAACATCTGACGGGGTCCCTTTCTTGTTCTTCCCCAGTGACAGTGACAGGTCAAGAAAGAAGGGCGAGACACAGAAGAAATCCACGCGTGCATGCGGAAGCATGTGCCAGTGGTGGGGGGTCCGCGGGCATGGGCTGCAATTGTTGGATGACGTCCCCCAGGTTCTGGCCTGTTTGGGACACGCGCGCCGGGCTTGTCGATGGGAGAGGCATTCGCGCATTCCAGGGCATGTCCTCTTCTTCCCTCTCCCGAACAATGGAGCGTCCGGGCCATCCCTGAGACCCCTGTGCCCCTGCAGTTCAGTTGCGGACTCCTGGTTTCCGCCCCAGCAAATGCCTGTTCGGCTCGCCGCCTCCGGGATCGCAACCGCTCGCGCGGCAGCGCAAACCCTCTTGTCTCGTAGTCTCTTTGTGATGGCCGTGAATAATTGTCACTCGGCAGCAAATCAGAGAGCTGCATGAAGGGACCTCGAGAGGCCCCCGCCGGCCACATAGCGTGAAAACCCGGGCCCGGTCCCGGCACTCTCATCCAGCCTAGACTCGCTGAGTCTTTTTTACGTCAACCCGCGTGGGTTTCACCCGAGCCCTTTTTTATTTTCTGTTAGCTATGGCACACGACAAATTGTCGGTCTGGCGCCGAATGAACGCGCTTCAGACGTGAGAGGCGAGGCGAGGCGAGGGAGGAGGAGTCCTATCTCTCTCTCTTTTTCCACCGTCCACGCCCCCCACGGCCGACCCGGACATGTCTTGCTCTCACGCTAGTCCCTGGTCCCCGCCTGCATCTATCTTCACCATGAAGGGGCTCCCGAAGCTTGGAGGAGTAGATGACCGGGGGGAACATGGGGCAGCGACACGCTTCGCCGTTGCCAGCCTGTGAGCTCTTACTCGATTCGATTTGGCTCTCGTTTCGATCGACGGGGTTCCCAGATTTGTATATAATCTTGCGGGCGCACCGCTCTCCCCCATCCTCTCGACTTGGAACTTCATCAGCTTCTCTCTCTGCCAGACGAACTAGGAACTCACCTCTCAGAGACACAACCTTGAAGCACCATACGTATACAACATACCTCTAAACCGTCAAAATGTCTAACCTTCCTACCGAGCCCGAGTTCCAGCAGGCTTACAACGGTATGTTGCCATCTACAACCATTCTTACACAACGAATCCAACAAGACTAACACCATCTATAGAGCTTGTCAGCACCCTCGAGAACTCCTCCCTCTTCACCCAGAACCCCGAGTACAGAACCGCCCTCGAGGTCGTCTCCATCCCCGAGCGCGTCATCCAGTTCCGCGTCGTCTGGGAGGATGACAAGGGCAAGCTCCAGGTCAACCGCGGATACCGCGTCCAGTTCAACTCGGCCCTCGGCCCCTACAAGGGAGGTCTGAGATTCCACCCTACCGTCAACCTGTCGGTCCTCAAGTTCCTCGGATTCGAGCAGATCTTCAAGAATGCCTTGACCGGCCTCAACATGGGTGGTGGTAAGGGTGGTTCCGACTTCGACCCCAAGGGCAAGAGCGACAACGAGATCCGTCGCTTCTGCGTCTCCTTCATGCGCCAGCTCAGCAAGCACATTGGCGCCGACACCGACGTTCCCGCCGGTGATATCGGTGTCTCTGGCCGCGAGATTGGCTGGTTGTTCGGTACCTACCGCCAGGAGCGCAACAAGTTCGAGGGTGTCCTCACCGGAAAGGGCCTCACCTGGGGTGGTAGCTTGATCCGCCCCGAGGCCACTGGATACGGTGTCGTCTACTACGTCGAGCAGATGCTCAAGTACGCCAACAAGGGCTCCTTCGCTGGCAAGCGTGTCGCCATCTCTGGTTCCGGCAATGTCGCTCAGTACGCCGCTCTCAAGTGCATCGAACTCGGTGCCACCGTTGTCTCCCTGTCCGACTCCCAGGGCTGCCTTGTCGCCGAGGGTGACGCTGCCTTCACCCCCGAGCAGATTGAGAACATTGCCGACCTCAAGGTCCAGCGCAAGTCTCTTACCGAATTCGACCACAAGGGCTCCTTCATGTACATCAAGGGTGCTCGTCCCTGGACCCACGTTGGCAAGGTCGACATTGCTCTGCCTTCCGCGACCCAGAACGAGGTCTCCAAGGAGGAGGCTGAGGCTCTCATTGCCGCCGGCTGCATTGCCATCGCCGAGGGCTCCAACATGGGCTGCACCCAGGAGGCCATCGACGTCTTCGAGGCTCAGCGCAAGGAGAAGGGTGGCGAGGCCATCTGGTACGCTCCCGGCAAGGCTGCCAACTGCGGTGGTGTCGCCGTCTCTGGCCTCGAGATGGCCCAGAACAGCCAGCGCCTGAGCTGGACCCGCGAGGAGGTCGACCAGAAGCTCAAGGACATCATGACCGCTGCCTTCTTCAACGGCCTCAACACCGCCAAGGAGTACGTCAAGGGCGGTGAGACCGAGCTTCCCAGCTTGGTCGCTGGTAGCAACATTGCCGGTTTCGTCAAGGTTGCCCGTGCCATGCACGACCAGGGAGACTGGTGGAACTAAGCGTTCTCGACCGGCAATTCGGAAGAGGAATACGAAAAGTTGATGCGAGTGGCGGCACCCACGTCTAAGGACGATGGGCAGACGTAGTGATGACCTTGAAATTCGGTGTAACGTCTATTTGTATTTCGGAGCTGGCGTTGGCGGCAGGGATACCTGAGTTAAATCAATACCAATTACTTTTTTTGATAAGCAAATTACTTACTGCTTTTGAGTGATGACTGGTCGCCAGTGAAGTGTGATCAAAGATCCCAACAGGCTGGAGTACTTTGACAGCCATCTTTCCAAGTGCCGACTGAAGGATTCGAATAAGCCGAATCCTTCAGAGAGCGCCACCTTGCCTAGAAGGGCGCGAGTCTGAATGGGTGTGAAGAGAAGGTGCTGACAAGAGAATATACTGAGACCAGTGCTGACACTCTAAAGCCACTTTCAATTGCGGCAAGAAGCCGGCTCGTCGGCCGTTGACATCTCTGACATCTGATAGAAGCCAGTAAAGTCGCTCTACTCACTCAAAGATGATCATCATGTATTAGCGATATGAATCAACTCTGATAGGTCGACATTGGATACCAGGCACGTCTGAGGGTCTCTCGGGCAACCACGCAGCGGCTATTTCCGCCGTCTGCCGTAGGCACCGATGCTCGATTACCAGCTTGAAGGGTTGAACACAGTGCTCAACGAGAGAATGACGGCCCGAATTGCGTTCTGCCTGCCGATAGATCGATACTTTGAGCGGCAAGACAACGTTGCTGGCTTTGAAGAATCTGCCCATCTGAATGTAGCAGTGCGACAACGGATAAATGAACACCGGCTGTGGCTCAAGACTCCTTTTGTTCAGGGTTATACATGACATAGAATGCCTCCGCAGACCCTGGCTGGTCTGGGTGACACTGACAAGACGAGAAATGGGCTGCGTGCGCCAGACCCGCATCGCCGAGCTGACGTTGGCCAAACAGGTTTCTAGAAGCAGCAACAGTTATCGTCGATGCCCATTGTGTTTCCTCAAGGTACCTCAGATAGGGATAGTGTGACTGCTGGAAAGAGAAGTTTCCGGGGATTTCACCTGTTGTGAAACGATTCAACGATAATGCTGATTCGACCACAAGCAAGATCCCGCGCAGCACAGCATGTTGGCGATGTTTTATTTAACGTCATTTTATAAATATCGCGTGTTTCCAGTGGTGGATTTGTTGAAGAAGGCGTTCCTAACGGACGTAAGAACATTTATCTCTGGACGAGGTACATCGTAACGTACCATTTCCAGTGCCTCTCGCGTCTTGCAACTATGATGCGTACGACAGCTGTAGGAACTGAGCGGAACAGATTGGAGGGTGTTGGTCACTTAGCTGTGCTGGATAAGCGTCGCTCTGGCACTCGTTTCTGTCGATCGGGCCTTGCATCATGCCATCGAGTTGCGGCGGCGCACAACTGGGCGAGTGACGAGGCCACCAACGTCGTTGTAAGTCGTTACGACGCATTGGCCAGACGCTGATGGGTTGACCCCTGCAGCAGCGGCGGTCTGATGTACCTACCTAGTAAGTCTGCAATCGCGTGGGCAGTGAACTCAGCCCTACCCAAGAGTTGAAAGGCTGACTCGTGGATTGCCAGATGGTATTGGACAATGACGGGAGACTCGGCCCTGGCATATGTTTCATCGCACGATTGCTGACCGTTGATGTCTTGTCGATCTACCAATGACGAGGCAGACGAGGCACGCAGCAAAACGGAGCTGGAGATGACCGAGACGAATGATGTAACTTGACCGCAAAGCTGGATGTAAGATGAAAGAGGCACAGTTCAGCCTGACGGTTGCCTTGGGGTCTCGGGAGCGATCTGACTGGAAAGATTGGTCTGTCGTGATGTATTCCGTATATCTGACGAGACTCGGAAGGCACCGATGGGCTCTGAGTGGGGCCCGCCGAGTCGGGATGGCATTAGCGGGGCAGTAGCGGATGGCGCAGCGACCACCCTCCCGCAGGGGCCGGACCAGGATCCACTGCGGGCCCTTGCCGCAGGCCCGCGTTGTTGGTGCGAGCTTACGGGCTACCAAATTACGTAGTCAGTTACCGCGGACTATGTGTGACATTGATCATGGATTAGAACACAGTCAGACGAGATATGTGGGCAGAGATTGTGGTATCAGGAGCCTCGGACTTCGTCACCCACTCAATACTCCGTACAGAGGCCGCGATTCCGGTCAGTGTAATTTGATGTTGGAACCAGGTTCACCACCCTTCTCCCTGTCACCTGGAATCGCATGCCAATTCCATGCGGCCTGTCAGTGGCCGGCGCATGTCAAGCATCAATCATTGTTTTACGTCCTCAATCACATGAATGAAGTAGACGAGCTTTCCTACTGACTACATAGCCGACCCGAGAAAAAGTTGCATATAGTCAATGTCAGTCTTGCCTATTCTCATGCTTCGCCTCATAAAATGCTTCTCAGCGGCGCATGTGCTTCTACATCGTAATCGCCTATTATGGTAGTCTGGTTCGACAAACATTTGCAGAAGCTACAGAAGAAGACGGAAGGGACAATACCTCATGTTATCAAGGCCAAGGCTTGGTAGCATGAAATCCTTGCCCTATCGTGAATAATGTCCAGCCGAGGCCCCCGCCCCAGTCATGTCGAAGTCACCTTGCACCAACACATCGGGGTAGGGATACGGCTTAGTCTCGTAAGGTGATCCTGTCGCACAAGACTCTGGCAGGTCTCTGTTTCAATGGCTATCTCATTCTTTCGGACTGAGACCAGGCTAGTCAAGTCCACCACTCGATTGTCTCAGCTTTCATGTGGGGGGACGGGCAGCTCGGGAGCCGATTTTGCTTCAATCCAGACTTGCACTGGCTTAATTGAGAACATCTGGATTGCCTGAGTCTATTGTCGTCTATCAAACTTCCCCAATTCTATCATGTCTTGAAGAGGAATTGAGCCGCAAAGCGTGCAACATCAACGGTTGCGGTTGTCTTGTTTGAAAAGGGCCTGAAGAATTCTGTGACCGGGGTTTCGATGTCGATTGTGGCTGCCTGGGGTCAGTCAAGGGTAAGGTCCAATTCATGGTGGCATTTTCCTGTTGCTGAATTCATCCTCAACCCCAGGATGCTTTAGGCAATCACTGATTGTTCGGGAAGGGTGGTCTGGAAAAAAGATACTTGACGCACGTGCCAAGCGGAAGTTCCTCTCGGCTGAGCCCTGGAGTGGCTGTCAGTTGAAGATAAGCGGGGCAAGGGTGCAAGAGGACGGGACTCACTCAGGTCGAAGTCCAAACGGGCAACCACTCCGTCGGGTGGAGAAATCTACGGCACGGTACGTATTCCTTCTTCCTTCCCACTGGGAACGGCCGCCTGGCTAAAGCCGAAGGGGAGACAACTTTCGACCAGTTTCATTGGCCCGTTTGCGCACACGCAAAGAGCGACCCAAGAGACATGTCTTTACCGGCCATTCAGGATCCATCTTTCCGCTAGTCTGGGCCTGGAAAAAAGGTACCTAGTGAAGTCGTCTTTTTTAGAGTGCGTACGTATATGTATCTTTTCTTCACTTTTTCCTCCTGTCCACCGAGGTAAGGTAGGTTCTCGTAGCACTCAGCTCGCCCAATCCAACCCCATCAACGGCACCAATGGCACCACCCAATACAATGTACATCATGAGGCAGCTTCTTTCTTTTCTGGTCATGACAGACTCGGTCCGGCCAATAGACTCATGCCGTCTCGCATCTTCTGCAATAGTTGCTGCACACTAAGAAGTGATTGTCACAGCCCAACTCTCCATCAGCCCTCCTCCTTTGCACAGTACAATCCTACTTAGATTACTATCCACACGACGCTACTCTTATTTTCGGCAACGCCTTCTGTACATCTGCAGCTCTGCATTCTATTGCGCCGGCGCAACCGCCCACTCACACCTCGAGAAACAGGGCGCTGAACCTCAGTCTCACCCTCACTCCATCCCCCGTCTTCTTGTCCCCGGCTTCAGGGCCTCAGCTCGTGCCGAGACTGCGGTCTTCTCTGTTGCTTTCCCTCATTGTCTGCCTTTTTGCCTACCCATAGCCCAATAAACCCGGGCCCGGATTTCAGTCTCAGGCCCCGGCTTTCCAGCCAGCCTCACTAGACCGGTTCGCTCCAACTTTAGTGCAAGAATGAATGAATTCGGATTCGTGCTCTAGGCCCGAGACACAAGATAGCAGAGCTATCAAACTATGTTGGCCCTGGCTTGCCTCAATCTGCTAATTTAGACCCCAGATTGTAGTTACCGTAGTTCACATGCTGCCAATGCATTCTCTAAGCTGTGCGTGTTGGTTTGGCTTCAGCTCGAGATCAACAGTCACCTCTTCTTCTCGCGCAGTATGCCCATCACACTTGCAATCGATGACGGATCCGGCACTGGTCCTTGCCGGCTCGACGAGCTCGTTCGTTCGTAGCGCACCCAAGGCACCTAGTGACTTAGTATCCCCATGTGCGTGTCGGCAAGGATGTTCCCAGGACCCCGGTCATCCATGGTGGTGTTCCCTCCTGGTCTGACTAGGGTGGGTTCTCTGTTTAGGTATCTACATAGACTAGTGTGGGATTTCTTACTAGGAATAGTTCGCAGCGGCGCATCTCCCTCTGCTTGGCCCGCCGTGGATCCCCCAATGAAGCATTCTTACATCTTCTCTGTAAAGCCCATTTCTCTTTTCCGCCCTTCATTCTGCGCTCATCATCCGCATTCATCTTCTCAGCCTTGAAGCGTGTATCTACTTTTCTGTTCTGTTGCTATATAGAGTCTGGCGGAACCCCTCTCATCCTCAGCTCATAACCACTCACCAACCATATTAACCCAGTATCTTGGCAGCATTTCCTAATCAGCAGAGCCTTTCTCAGGAGTCTCACACTCGCTCGTCAACTTTGCTTTTGAGTATTATATACCCTGGCCTTATCCGCGCTTGGATATTCCAGCCCTAGAGGCGCCAAACACATGGCTCCAATGGCTACTACAGAGGGCCTCAAGAACGGCACCGAATCCGGTCCCAGCCATATTAATGTGTCCAAAGCCAATGGATACCACTTGGACAGCAACGGCACCAATGGTCACAACGGTCACAACGGCTCGACACCCAGATATGCCGGCTTCTCGCCTGCTTCAACAGACTCACGCCCGCAGACAGCGTCCTCAAAATCTTATCAAGAGGAGCCCCCCTCCAATGGTATCAGATACAGCAAATCTCACAGGATCCCGACCTTCGGAATTCACGAAGAAGACAACGCCCCTAGATCAAGGAGCTACGCCAACATCCGCACATATGCCGACGATGCCCGAAGGCAATATCCTCGCATATCAAAGCCGGTTGAGCTGATGCGCAGCAGCTATGATGTCGTTGTCATTGGTTCAGGGTACGGTGGTGCTGTCGCCGCATCCCGCCTGGCCCGTTGCCAAGATGCCAACGGCAAGCGTCAGTCTGTATGCGTACTGGAGCGAGGAAAAGAGAAGTGGCCTGGTGAATATCCTACTGGCGTTCTCGATGCCTTTGACGAGCTTCACGTTTCCGGCGAGTTTGCCCCTGGTTGGCTCCCTAGCACAACTGTGGAAAAGGGTGACCCGACTGGCATGTACCACTTGATCTTCGGGAAGGGGCTGAACGCCGTCGTTGGCAATGGTAACTACATGCTTTCCTGTTATGTTGAAAATCATCTGCTGACTGATGACAGGCCTGGGTGGCACGAGTTTGATGAACGCCAACGTCTTTCTAGAAGCCAACGAGGCCACCTTGTCTATGCCTATCTGGCCCAAGTCCATCAGGGAGAACCCCAAATGTCTAGAGAAGTGTAAGCCATTCGCCCCATAGGATTTTGTACGAATCTTTGGAGACATTACTGACACGTAGTCACTCAGTTTACCAAAGAGCTCGGGATGTTCTTGAGCCCACTCAATACCCAGATGACTGGCCCGAACTTCCCAAAGTCAATCTCTTCAAGAAGCAGGCTGCCGCTCTTGGCATGTCCGACAAGTTCAAAATGGTCCCTCAGACAACTAGATTCCGCAATGGTCCCAACAGTACTGGTGTGGAGATGTCTCCATCAGCCTTGACCGGCCAGGACTGCACTGGTGTCAATGATGGCTCCAAATCGACTACATTGGTGACTTACCTGGCTGATGCCTGGAACTGGGGCGCAGAAATGTTCTGCGAGAGCGAGGTTCGTTTCATCAAGAAGGCCGACCCGCGCATTGGAGGGTACCTCATTTTCTTCGCCTGGCATGGCCGGAACCGAGGTCACTTCAAGGCCAATCTCCACGGAGACTTGATGTGGGTGCATGCGAAGGAGTGCGTGTTCCTCGGTGCCGGTGCTATTGGTAGCACTGAGATCCTTCTCCGTAGCAAGGAGATGGGACTGCCCCTGAGTCCCCGCGTCGGCGAAAACATGAGCGGCAATGGCGATATGCTAGCCTTTGGGTAAGTTTGGATCTTTCTATTCTACTCCGAGACGTACGCGGCTGACCGCGATCTTAGATATAACATGGACGAGGAGGCGAACGCGATTGGGAAGCCCTTCCCCAACCCGTATAACCCTATCGGACCTACCATCAACTCCGTTATTGATGACCGCGAAGGGCACGAGAACCCTCTTGATGGATATGTCATCCAAGAAGGAGCTATCCCTCGTTCTTTGACACCGTTCCTTCAGACATTATTGGAGATGATGCCTGGCAGCATTGAAGCCACTGGAGAACCGTTCCAGGAGAAGGTCCGGTCTGCCTTTGCTCGGTACTCGAGCCATCTATTCGGCGCGTATCGCCAGGGTGGATCAATGGATAACACTCAGGTCTACCTGGTTATGTCCCATGACAGCAGTCAGGCTATGCTTACACTCAAGGATGACAAGCCAGTCCTTGAGTTCCTCGGAGTTGGTCGTAGCGATCACGTCCGCAAACTCAATGATCTGCTAGCAAAGGCTACGCAGGCCATGGGCGGAACCTTTGTCAAGAACCCTTTCGATGCCTTGATGGGAGGTCAGCAAGTGACCGTTCATCCTATCGGGTAAGTTTGAAATTCGTCCATTTGTGAACTGTTCTAACATGACTCACAGTGGAGCTTGCATGGCCCGCGATGATACTGGCGCCACCGGTGTCACCAACGATGTTGGCGAGGTATTCGCCGGAGACGACGACGAGACACACCCTGGGTTTATCATCACTGATGCCTCCGTCATTCCCGGTGCCATTGGTGTCAACCCCTTTGCTACTATTACAGCCCTGGCCGAGCGGTCCGTCGACGCTCACATCCACAGGAGAAACCTCAAGATTCACCCCAACGAGAACGGCATCTTGGACCTATTCGGGGAGCCTCACTTTGCCCCCAAAGAATCCCATGATACGGCAGAGACTGAAGTCGAGATCAAGAGAATTGATGAAGCAAGCTCACTCATTCGCCATGCCGACCAGTCCAAGGCTGGAGGATTCGGCTTCACCGAAGTCATGTCTGGTTTCGTTCATCGCGACGATGGGCTCGTGACTGACAAGCGGGCCACCTATGAGTTGGCCTACCGAGCAGCCAAGAGCCTTTGTGAGAGCGCCAGATTCTTCCTCAGTGTGCAGGCCTTCAACACGAAGTCCATGATCAAGGAGCCCGACCACTCTGCCATGCTGACGGGTACCTTTGTCTGCCCCTCTCTTCGCGGTTCTCCTTTTATGGTCCAGAGAGGTGACTTCAATCTCTTCATTCTTGACCAGAAGGCACCGGGAACTCGGAACATGACGTACGATTTTGACCTCCGGGGCATCCACGGCGAGAAGTACCATTTCCATGGATACAAGGTCGTCGATTCCTCCGTCGCCCTGGCCCCCTGGCAGTTCTGGAAGGCCACGAGCACCCTCTATGTCACCATCACCGAGCACAGTCGCGACCTGGAGGCCGTCCACGACTGTGACGAGCCGTGGCGCCGCGGAAAGGTCGTTGCCAAGGGCATCATGCACATCCAGTTCGCCGACTTTGTCTCTCAGATCATGACCATGACCCCCACGGGAAGCAGTCTCATAAAGAAGGCCTACAGCGCGGCGAGCTTCCTCACCTACTTTACTCGCAAGTCGCTCTCCCTTTTCCTGGCGCCCTTCACTCCTCTCCAATACCCCAGCGTCACCTACAACGGTTACGTCAACGATACTCCTCCCAAGGCATCCTTCGTCATCGTCGCACGGGACGGCGTCAAGACGCGCATGCACATGTGGGAGCCGACCAACCCGAGCATTGAGACCAAGAACCTCTTCATGATCCCGGGTGCCGCAGTCGATCACCAGATCTACGCCCTGCCCACGATCAAGTACAATGCGGTCAACTACTTCACCCGCGCCGGCTACCGCGTCTTCATCGCCGTCCACCGCATCGGCCAACTCATGGTCGCCCAGAACAACTGGACGACCTACGATGCCCGCCTGGACCTGCGGGCCTGCATCGAGTACATTCGCGAAAAGTACGCCGACGGCAACTCCCAGGAGAACAAGGTGTACTGCATCGCCCACTGCATGGGCAGCGTCGCCTTCTCCACCGGTCTCCTGGACGGCACCATCCCCTCCAACTGGGTCCACGGCATCACCTGCAGCCAGGTCTTCATGAACCCGATCTGGGCGACCCTCAACATGGCAAAGGTCAAGGTCGGCCCCATCCCCATGGACAAGCTCTACAAAATGGTCCTCGGCAACTGGTTCTCCTGCAGCACGGCCAAGGACGACAGCCTCCTCCAGCGCGCCCTCAACGAGGCCCTCAGACTCTACCCCGAAGAGCGCAAGGAGATCTGTAACAACGCCAGCTGCCACCGCTGCACCCTCGTTTTCGGCCGCTGCTGGAACCACAACAACCTCAACGAGGCGACGCACCGCCAAATCGACCGATTCTTCGGCGGCGTCAACATGACGCAGCTCCAGCTCCTCATGAAGCAAGGCTCCGAGGGCCACGTCATGACAAACGGCCCGCTCTTCCGCCCGCTCACGACGCCCGACAACATTCGTCGCCTCCGCGGCGTCCCCGTCATGCTCTTCGTCGGCCGGGACAACGCCGTGCTCACCCCCGAGGCGACGGAGCGCACGTACGAGATCCTCTGCGACACTTTTGGCTCGCATGGCGGAGACGGCCCGAACGGCGGACTCCAGTACCGCCGTCGCGTCGTCCCTGGGTACGGACACCTCGACTGCTGGATGGGACGTAACGCGTGGAAGGACGTGTACCCGTTTGTCAGGGAGGAGGTCGATCGCGTTGTCCGCGGCGAAGAGTACCACTTTGTCGACCCTGATGATAAGTTCTCTCGCATGGTGGACAGCGGTGAGCTGCTCTACTAAGAGTGAAGAGTTTCATCATTGTAGCATCATCACGTTGTTATTCGCGGTCGTGTATTTCTGGGGGTTCGGGATTTATCTCTCATCAGAGAGTCGGAAAATTGTGTCGATACCCCAACATTCCTTCTTCAAAATGTAATGAGAGCGTGGGAATAATCTTCTTGGAGAATTCAAAGCGTCGGGAAGCAAATTGGATTTAGACAGGGAAAAAATAAGGGGGAAATTTTACACTCACTGTGGTGGATAGGAGTTTGGGTTGGATCATGTCATTTTCTTCAGAAAGAAGCAGCAGTGCAGGCTCGCATCTGCATCATTCATTCCACAAGAGGTACTACAAGGTTACCAAAGGTAGATGCCAAATAATCAAACCTATCGGCATCAGAAAAACAGAAGCCACAGATACTTGTACAGAAACGCCAGTGACCTTTGCCGATTTCCCAGTTTCATACACACATTAAGTCCATCCGTCCGTTAGTCTTGACCCGCACATCATCAAGTCCAACATGATACAGACAGGAGGGGGTTCTGCCTCCCTCGCGAGACAAAACCAAAGCAAAACGTACTTGTACAGAGAGCATGCCTTCTCTCTCATGAACCCCCATCTCGCGACATCTCGCGCAGGGACGTGACGTAGTTTGCTTCCAGCGCATCCCAGTCAACCACTCCGGCCTCCCTCTCAACCATCTGCGGCGGCGCCCACGCTTCATCAAAGACCAACCGGACATCGTCGCGGTAAATGAAGCTCTGACGGTGCCATTCATCTTCACTAGACGCCTCGATCCTGCCTAACGCCACGTCGAGCTGCTCCACGACCGCGCCCGACCCGTCGTCTTCCCACGCGATCCAGGCCATCGTCTTGCCGCCCTCAACGTCAATCTTGAGCGAGGCAGAACCCCACTCGAACGTCCCGCTGGTGAACCCCGGGGCGGTAATCTCAACGATCTGACCTCTCCGCCGCTTCTGCTGGTTCGTTGCCGCGGAGGATGTCGACGTGACAACACGGGTAAGCTTGACTTCAAAGACGCCCTGGGCTGTCGCGAACCCTCCTCTCGCGAAGCTGAGCCACTTTGTAAGGTGCGGGCGGACGGTCCACTCTGCACCGGCAGGGGCAAGGAGCTGGATCCCCAGGATCTCCGAGGTAAGGGCGCTCGTGGGACCTGAGGACCAGCCGTGACAGTGGGAGTTGCGGGCTGCGGACCGGTAGGCCGGGTACTGTAGGCCGCCGTCGACCATGAAGCCCTCAACCAGCGTGCTGTTCGTGAAGCCCGGCCCGTCGAGGAGGTAGGACCACTCGAGGAGCATCAGCTCGACGGCGGAGTCGTGCTCGTCAGCCGCAGCGTGGGCGAGGAGCTCAAAGGAGGAGACAAAGGGCGAGATGACGTTGGGGAATTCAACCGCGGGAGCGCCGTACTTGCCCCAGCGGGATCGAAGTCTCTCGGAGACGACCGCACGTCGGGAGCGCGGCGTGGCACCGGAGATGAGGGCCCAGCTGTTGCCGTCTTGGGGGTCGGTGTGCTCGGGGCCGCGACAGCTGCGCCGGCCGATATTGTCCGAGTACAGACCGGTGTCTCCGCAGTAGAGTTGCTGAATGCCGGCGTTGAGAGCGCGGCGCACGCCCGACCAAACCCCTCGCGGACGTGCCGCAGGGCTGTCGTCGTGGAGCCACCCTGCTAGCTTGATGCTCTTTTCCAAAACGGCGCTCAGGATCGCGCTGGCTTCGAGGTTGTGGCCTGTCATCCCTGGGCGCAGCCAGTCTGCGGCGCTGGTGACGTGGAGGAGGCCGGTGTGGTCCACCTTGTCGATGCTGACGTTGAGAGCCTTGACATAGGCCGGCCATCGTTCTGCCAGCCAATCTAAGTCTCCAGAGTACTTGACGTAGTTGTAGGCGCCCAGCAGAGTGTGCAAGTGATATGTATCACTGAACTCGCCGTGGAGGCCCAACGGCGGGCCGGCCCATGGCAATGATCCATCCGCGTACTGATGATCGAAAAGTACGTTGAGGGCATTGCGGACAGCTACCATGTCATATGTGCTGACGGCGATACCAGGTACCGCAATAAACATGTCGCCGGGCCAAACGACGCGATCACGCTTTGCGCCATCGGTCGTGACAGCCGTGCCGTTTGCGATAGTGAAGTTGGAGTACCAAGAACCCGTCGGCGACTCGTTATGGTCCCAGTCGCGGTTGTAGTCGATGATGGCCGAGCCTTCTCGAGGGTCGATTGTCGAGAGCTGGAGAGTGTATGCGCCGGCGTACCAGATGCGATTGAGCATGTCGCTCGAGCTGTGGAAGTAGCCCGAATACGCACGACCGTTGGACTGCGAGGGAAAGGCGGTGCAGTTTACCCAGAGGCCCTTAAGCGTAACCCAAGGCTTCTTGTACGGGTCTCTGTCGGCAGCTCCTTCGAGTGGTACTTGTTTCTCGTCCTCTTCTAATACTGCCTGACCTTGAGGCCGGGGTACCTCCACGAAGCGATCGTCTGTCAGAACAGGGTATTCCGGCATCGTCAACGTGAGGTACTTGAAGCCGCCGCGAATAAAGTCCTTGCCAACGCAGACTGTGCCGGTCCTGTCGTCAAATTCAAAGTGTAATGGCAGGTCTCGGTCTAACTTCTCGGTCGTGGTGTCCGGCTGCGGTCCGGCATATAATGAGGACTCGGAGTACGCTAGGGAGATCTCGGGGTCGTTTCCGGTGGACGATACATCGAAGCATACACTGTCAAGCAGCCATGATTAGCCAGGGACGACGCGCTCTAAAGGGCAGCGGGCACATAATCGTACCGTCCAGCAATGTTCTCCTCAAACTCCAGCGTCAACATCCCGCCAGGCCCAATAGTGATGCCGTGGTGGAACGTACGTCCCGCTTCGACGCCGACCTCCACGGCCTCCAGACCCGACGTCGTGATGTTCCCTTCCACGTCCCATATGCGATGCGGAACGATATAGGTCTTGTCTGCTGGTGCTTTTATATATCTTTCCCAAGGTCCCCTAAAGACCGGCGTGTCAGGGAGACTATTCGGATCGATGAACGGAGGCTGCAGTGCCGCCAGAATCATGCGCGGCGCCATCATCGAGACAAGGGATGCCCATTTCGCGGGCGGTGTTGTGGACTTCATCTTTCCGGCTCAGTTGGGGCACGATAGGCGTTACAATAGACAGCGGGAAAACGAAGTCGACAAAGTTCAAGAGTATAGCCAACAAGTCGAAGCCATGCGGAACGCAACGTCTCGGGGGGTAACTTGCAACACCGGCGTTATTGTGCAGACGTAGAAAGTCCGGAGGCTGCAAGGGTTTTTGGGAGCAAAAAGCCGGACGCCCTGTTGAGAGGGAGAGGAATTGACGCACGCACGAGCTTTGGGTTGTTGCTTTGTTGCGAACAGAGTCCGTTGCAGATTTTGGGGGCCACCACGGGGTCGTTGCACCTGCCCTGCGTGCGTGCCGAGCTAGCTACCTACCCCGCGTCCCACCCCCGGCCCCGCAGCCCCCGGCCGCCGATCGCCGCGAACTCTATGCACCTATCCATTCCGGGCAGGCGCAGCCCTCTCCACACTATCCGTACCTTCATCCACATGCCGTTGAAGGTTTAATGCCCGTTGACAGCCCGTATCTCACTCGGAAAGGATTGATCTCAACGAGGACTATGATTCCTGAGAGCAAGGCAGAGGAAACATATTGAATGACTAAGTAACCTCACCTATATTGAACCACCTGCTGGAAGTGGGGTTGCAGCAGAAAATTGTCCAGTTTCAGACCACACCAAACCCGAGACGTTCGTAATCCACCGTATTTCAGACAACTACCTTGTCTCGTCGCGGCAAATGAAGAGTTTTCAATACGGGCACTTACGATATAACATCAAGTCTGAGTAATAAACTACGCGGCCAGCCATTGTGCGCGGCCTTGCTTCGGCCGCGTGTCTTGCTTGAAATGAACATCCCACCTCATCCACATCGGCTCTGCTTTGAATACATACTCAAAATAAAAAATGTGGGACGCAATGACGTGTGATGTGTTGCGTTGCTCACTCTATTTTTTGCCTCTCCATATTTGCGCCGGCATAATAATCCACAAAAAAGTATGGCATACCACCCGTTCTATCATGCGTCTAGTCCGTCCAGCTCTATCAGCTTCGCAACCAGCTTGATCACTTCGTTGTCTGCAAGATCTAGTCCAGGGTTCTCAATCTTCATCGCAATCACGTCATCGACCATGCCCCTGAGTCTCGACACCAAAACTCCCAACCGCGCCCAGCCTCGAAGGCGCACCCATTCGTCGACCACCAGTCCTCTTCCCAGCGTATCCAGACTGATGGCACCAGAGAACAACAGCAAAGTGTAGGCGTTGAAAGCTATTTGAGAATCAGCAAACTTATTTTCGCCTTGGTATTTTCAATGGAAACTTACGTGTGAGGTCTCGGATGAATGTCTTGCTGGTGGAAATCATAGTAAAGTACGACATGAACGAGGCGTTGCCAGTGAACCCTTGACTGCCGAAAAGCGTACTGCTGGGATGCACAAACACTCGGCCCTGCTCTTGAGCAAAGTACTTGATCAGCCGCGCCTCCGGATCCAACTCCTTCGCACCGGAAACCGTGCTAGTAAACTTCTTGTCTGGATACTGGATCCGCGCAATCTGCGGGTTGAACGCCGAGGCCGTAATCGCACGTAAAAGAGTCATGCCGGATTTGCTCTGGCTCTTAGCGGCGCCGGACCTGCTCGTCTCGACGATACCAATCTCGCCGAGGGCAGAATAGTACTGCATTCGCGTTGCCGATATGTCATTCAGTGTAAGCCACGAGAGGAAGTTGTCGTCGCAAAAGTTGCGAAGTTGCCGCTGTCCCACCCCGTCGCCGCGCATCTCGTCCCACTGCTTGAAAGCCTCAAGATCGGTAAGCAGGTCGCCGTCTCCGTTCGAAAACTTCATGCGCGCGTCCTTGGCCTGGTCGCGCTTATCCGGAGGCGACATGAATGGACTGCGGGTGCTGAGAATGGCGGCAATCGTGACCGAGTCATCCAAGCAGCCAAAGATGGCACCGTACACCATGAGTTTTGCGCATCGCAAATCGGCGGGGATCATGGCTAGTTGTTGACCTAGTGCGGTCATTTCGTCTCCGTCCAACGCACCCATTCTGCGCAAGAGCTTGATCGCGCCATCAACGGCTGTGCTATCAGGCGGCGTAGGCGACTGTGAGAGGAATCCGGCCACGTTCCTCATACCCATGGCTCGTACGGACAGACACATCTGCTCCAACGGTACTCTTCTGATTTCCGGATCCGGTCGCTCAGCCATCTGTTGCTCGAGATTCTTGGTATACAGCTTGTAGCACTTGCCGGCCTGCACTCTGCCAGCACGACCACGCCGTTGCTTACACGCCGCGCGAGAAGCCCAGTTCTCCTCCAACTTTCTCATGTTGTTCACGGGGTCGTATGTAGTCTCCTTCACCTTGCCGCTGTCGATAACGGCAACAATGTCGTCAATCGTAATTGAAGTCTCCGCCACGTTGGTAGCAACGACAATCTTTCTCTTGCCATGCGGCGGACTGGCAAAGACCCGTTTCTGCTCTTTGGTCTCCAGTGAGGCATGCAGAGGCAGAACGTGTAACGAGGAGAAAGACCGCAGGACGCCACACGCCCTGTTGATCTCGGCCACTCCGGGTAAGAAGATGAGGATACCGCCCGACTTGCCCGTATGAGATAGATCCGCGTCAATCTCCCGTACGGTCTCTGCCAGAAGGTCGTAGTTGATGCGATGTCCCAGCTTTTGAATCACCTTGCCCATGGCGTCGCCTCGTCCGCCATCTCCGTCAATCATGTCACCTCTGAAGCCCGTCATGTTGATGATATCGTCTAGGTAGAAATCATCAACAGGGTACGTTCTTCCAGCAATCTCCACCATGCCGACGTCCAAGCCTTGGGAGGTGAAGTAGTAGTTGAAAGATGCGGCATCAAGCGTGGCGCTCATGAGGACCAACTTCAAGAGGTTCTTCCTCGTCTTCATGACCTCCCTGACAATGGTCAGAAGGAAGTCTGTATCCAGACTACGCTCGTGCACTTCGTCAATGACAATGTGACTGACGTCTGCCAGCGACGCCGCAACGTCTTCAATCTTTCCACCAGAAGTTTGCAGCCTCCTCAGTAGCACACCAGTCGTCACGAATGTGATTTTTGTGTTGTTGCTTCTACGGTTCTCGCCGCGAATGGCGTAACCGATTTCGTCTCCAACTCTGCTACACCGTTCCTCGGCCACACGGTCGGCCAAACCAAGCGCGGAGATTCTCCTGGGCTGTGTCACAAGCATATTGACACATTTGCCCAGGCCTCTGTTGTACAGGTCGTCCAGAATGAACTGCATCGACTGCGTTGACTTTCCGGAACCAGTCTCACCACTGATGATGGTAACGTGGTTGTGTTCGACGGTCTGAACAATCTTGTCACGAACCTGCCACGCAGGTAACTTTTGACGCTTCGACATCATCTTCTCCCACGCTGGATCCTCCGTCCTTCTCAACCAGTCATCTCGTGATCGTTCGTCAGGTGTCCACGAGATTGGCTTAGGAGCTCTCTGGGATTTGTTCGAGGCTCTCTGTGACCGGGCTTCGTTGGGTACCTCGGACGCCGTCGAGGCTACTGCTGAAATGTCCAACAGTTTGCCTGGCCGTTCAATTATGTCGTTGATATTTTGCTGAATCCAGTCAATGGCAACAAAGACCTTCATAGGCTCCTCCCAGTAAGAGTCGTCTAGATATCCAATCGTCTGCTTGATTATCGACAGCTTAATCTGCGCCGGGAGAGGTGCCACAACGGCAAAGTTGAGCTGGGCAGGGTAATTCGGCGTCTTGCGAACCTGAACGGCTGCCTCTACCGGCTTCCCTGCGTTCTTGACCTTTTCAAGCTTTACTTGGATGATGTCCACCGATGTCTTCTTGAAGAGGTCGCCGAAAGAAGACTCCATCGCAGAAACTTCATCTTCCCAGAGCTCATTCGCCGAGACACCCGGGGGAAGAAGATCTTCCGCGGTCGATCGCGACTCGTCTCCTGACACTTGCCCCAATAGGCGGAGCTGAAGGAGCTCGGCTGCCCGGCCTTCGCTACCGCCAGCCTCCTCGAGGACGCGGGCGCACAGGTCGAGGGCGTAACCAGATTCTGAGAGACGTTTGATGACAGCTTCTTTCTTGAGATCCATGGACGCGACCGAGATACCCGCCGCATAGCTCTCCGGCAGTGCCCATCGCGGCAGGTCATCCTCAGGAACGTGAATCAACAGCCACTCGAGCGTTTCCTCACGGTCCTTGCAAATCTCCGTAGCCTCCTCAACGTGACTTCGTCTGAATCCCAGCTTGCTGAGCTCGTCGACAATCGCCTTTTTCTGAGCCGCTGGTATTTGAATCTTGTTTGGGTTCCAAACAACATACTTTTGAATCAGTGCCTCGACCTGGGTTCGCGAACGCTTGCCCATCTCAATCTTTGGCGCCGTCACCCAGCCCTTCATAGCGTTTGCGCCGGCTAGCCCAGATGCGCCAGGCATAGACTTTGCCTTCTCCTTGGCCGCCTCCGCCTCCTTGCGCTTCTTCTCAGCCGCGGCCTTGGTGTCCTTCCTCTCCATGAGAGTCTTGAACGGGTCCGCGTCGTACATCCACGCCTTGCCATCCTTGACGTCCTGCTTCTTGATTTCCTGGAAATCTTTCCACATGGACTTATAGTCGGGCGGCAGCACCATGTGCTTGTTCTGCATGCTGCACACCCTAAAGAGGGCATACGTGGCCGCGGCATGCCTCGCCTCCAGGGCAGTCGGCCTGGTGAGCAGATGTTTGAAGTCCGGCGCAATCTTGAACGAGTCCAGGGTCATGAGCTCTTTCGTCTTCGGGTCCTTTGCGCTGAGGGTGATGAAGCAGGCATATCCCTCCGGAGTCTTGCGCATGTCGTAGACTGGCTTCTCCCACTGCTGCTTCTGGCAGTACTCATTGAAGAGGTTCTGCGGCAGCTTTCCGGTCCATGACGACCCGCCAATGATCTGTTTGACGGTGGGCTTATTGGCAGCTGGACCGGCGGCCTGCTCCATGAGCGATAGACCGCCAGTCTTCTTGCCTTTGGCGCCGTCTTTGGAAGACGATGCGGCTGCTTGCGCCGCTGGGGCTGGCGCGGCGGCCTTGTCCTTTCCCTTGCCTTTCTTAGGCGGTGCCATGGTTTGGTGGCGTGTCGAGGTGTTTGTCTAAGGGCAAGTCTGAGCCATGGAAAACGCTGTTGGCGGTGAAGACGAGAACGCAGTCGGTCTATCGTGAGCCACCTCAGAGTAACTGCGCGAATGAGCTCGTTGCGATGTCACTGAAAGCACTGGGAAATTTTATTTGCCCGTGGATTTCCCAGGTTGATTGGGGTGGTTGTTGGAGCCCAGTTGCAGAAAGCCACTTGCCGTTAGCGGTTGCAGAGGCGGTTTGCAGTGGCCACTCAGCGACCTTGACGTTGATGGCGGCTGGCACTGGATGGAGGGGCACGGCTTCTCCTGCAGCTCCCCCGCTGTGGGTACCTCGATTATATTCTTTGAAGGGTCTGGCCGGATCTCTAAACTGCCTGATGCACATTCACATTTGTTGCCGTACCCAGGACATAGCCTTTGGTCGCAACGAGACCGCAGACCGCAGCTTTGAAGCTACGGAGTCTTCGTTACCACTGTACTTCGTATAAAGAATGGCTCATTGAACACAGCGCACACTCTGGGCCACACGCAAAGCCTTTCCCACACCCAGCCTTGAACATCCCACCACCAAGACAGACAATGGCGGGCACAGACTCGGATCCTGAAGACGCCATCACCAAGGATGAGATCCAAGGGACCGCCGCCGCGCCTGCACAACCGCGAAATGCGTGTAAGCCATCCTACAGAAATCTTCCCCGAAACCTCGCAAGCATTCTGACCTTCGCGCACCCCTAAGTCGCAGAGCTCATGACACGAAAACGCAAGCCCGAACCGACCCCAGAACCTCCCAAGGCTTCTTCTCGAAACAAGCCCCCTCACACAAGCCGTGATGGCCTTGGTGTATACATCGAAAACCCGTCCTCCTTCCCTGCCTCGCGAGTGATCTACCACAATGACGATTTCGTCGCCATCAACGACCTGTACCCGAAAGCCAGCGTCCACACGCTACTGCTCCCTCGATCCCCCAAATACACCCTCCTTCATCCGTTCGAAGCCTTTGACGACCCCGAGTTCTTAGCGACGGTACAGAATGAAGTCTTGAAGCTGAAGGACCTCGTAGCCAAAGAGCTACAGCGACGGTTCGCAACGGAAAGCAAGGCCGAGGCAGATCGAGAAGCCGTGCTCGACGGACGCGCAGAGCCGACAGGCGCCGAGCTTCCCCAGGGCCGTGACTGGCACGCCGAGATTATTAGCGGCATACATGCGCATCCAAGCATGAACCATCTGCACGTCCACGTACTTTCACGAGACATGTATTCCGTGTGCTTGAAGCATCGCAAGCACTACAACTCCTTCAATACCCCCTTTCTGGTCGATGTTGCCGATTTTCCACTGGCCCCGGACGACCCCAGGCGTCATCCCGGCCACGAGGGCTACCTCATGAAAGTGGACCTTGTTTGCTGGAGGTGCAAGGATAACTTCAAAAACCAGTTTGCGAAGCTGAAGGAGCACCTCTCCCAAGAATTCGTCGAGTGGAAAAAGGAGTAAACACGGTAAGATCACAACTGCGATATACAGTAGCGCAACAAGGGGGCAAATGAGGAAAAGCAAAGCGTGGAGCAGCACGACCTCAGCCCAAAGACGGAAGGTTGCGTCTTCACAATAACAACCATAGAAGGGTGGAGACAAAATAGTCTCGTATTCAGCAAAAAGCATGGTATCTCAGTAACGGTCAGGGCCTCGCATGTCGCGCGGTCTGCAGGCGGGAGAGGACCAGGACCGTCATCGACACCAAGCCCACTAAACAAATCGGAAGCGAGACCCCAACGCCTTCTTATGTTTTCCCCAGTGTCCGCCAGACGAAAAATTCCAAGATCCCGTGCGAAATGTAGCAAAAAGGTCTTCCCCTTTCGTCCGTTGTATTACTGTGGATGAAATAATTTCGTGGTCAGCCGAATATTCCTCGTATCATTCTCGATGGCAGCCAAGGACGCACCTCTTCAGCAGAGTCCGCGGCGTCGGAGGGCGACTTCATCGCGGCGTCTTCCTTAGTTTCCTGTGCTTGATGTATTAGTGAGCCGACGTTCATACTCGTACACGAGCCGGAAGGGGAGAGATCTTGAGCTAACCTTCCTCTCCGTCCTCCGAGTCGGAATCAGCGGGCAATTCCTCTTTGGCAGCCTTGCCCTTCTTGGCAGACTCGGCCTTGGGTGTAGCGGCGGCGTCAGACTTGCGAGGACGGCCACGGCGACCACCAGCGCCGGCAGACTTTGGTGTAGCCTTCTTGGGCGTGGCAGACTTCTTGGGAGTAGCTGCGGTTGCGTCGTCGGCCTTCTTGGGTCTTCCGCGCGTCTTGGTGCCAGTGGTACTAGGTGCGACCGTCTTCTTCACGCCTCCGCTACCTTTTGGGCGACCACGAGGACGTCCCGTGGGAACGTAGGGCGTCTTCTTCTGGCCATCGGCTTTGGGGGGTCTACCCCGACCGCGCTTCACGGGTTCCTCAACGGTTGGCGCCATTGTAGATTGTGTGTGTTAAACGAAAGTTATTTGCGAAGAAAAAGAAAATGTGGGAAAAGTTTACGCAGGAAATCAGAGATCGTGAAAAGCCCCTCGAGGTACTGTACAATTCTTCTCCGCGACGATCGAAGAGAATGGGGTTCACGAAAAGGTCTGGTAGAGAGTGAAGTGTGAAGGAGAGAAGACGCAGAAAGCGGGCGGACAAGTCCTAAATGTGCAATTAAGGTCCGATGCTCATAGCGCGGAAGTGACCCTTGTGGGTGGAAAGCGCGTTTGCGCGTCACTCTCGCGCACATGGGGAAGCTACTACCTTAGGTTCGTTGAGCACCAAAGGTAGGTACCCGCTTCTGGGGTAGGTGCCTCCCAGGAGTCCAGGACCACCCAACTTCAGACTGAAAGCTCTTGCACCAAGAACCATGGAGATGCATCTACATTTAATGAGATAATCGTGCAATAACCCAAAATCTCCCAATACATCATGTTTTGTTATTAAAAAAAATGGCAAATCAAAATTGCACTTTCCACTGGTCCCATAACAAAGAACACTCCGGTCCCTGCTCTGGCACAAGTAATCAGAGTGCTGACCGCATTAAGGTAAGGTCAGGGCCCTGAAACCTCAATTGGATGCGTCTCAGGCCAGATCAGGCAAGGTAGACTTGCTTTTCGTTGTTGAAGTGATTGGTAGTCACATATCTATGCTGGGAGTTGACAAACTTTCAGGCGAACGCAACACTTAGTCTCTCACAAGGCTTGGTGTACGGACAACAGCTAACAACAAGCTCTTGGCAGCCCATTCTTCCCTTATTGTCGTTAGTTGCGAGTGGAACAACCTCAATGGACGAAATATCCAAGGTGTCGTTCACATATTCTTGAGAGTGCATCTTTAAGGCGATAACAAAGCTCCAGTAATTCCTACGGGAGTCGCCAACATCGGCTTCTTGCCTTGTATGTAGCTATTGTACAGTACTTTTGTTTTCCTTCTCCAACGTCAACTCAATGTGAACATCCTATAAGCTCTTTTCCAGCTTGTTGGGCTCTTCAAGGTTGCCAATCTGTGATCGCATGGTTGCTATCTTGTCCAACGTATCCACGTTCTTAGACGGCTCGCTTCGTAGAGGTGCTACGTTCCTACTCGCCCTTCTTGAGCTTGCCACTGGCACCGCTCTTGACGCGCTTGGCAACAGGGCGGTTGATGTGGTGGTCGGGGATCCAGCTCTCGTCGTAGCTCTTGCCAGTCGAGGAGGCAACACCAGTGGTGTCAGCCTCAGCCAGAGGCACGGTGACACTAACAGTGCGCGCCTTCTTGGAAGACTTGGCCTTCTTAGCCTGGGGGAAGAGGGCTTCGATCCAGGTCTTGTAGACAAAGTACAGAGTACCAGCGAAGGCACCAGACAGGAAGAGGTAGAGGAAGATGCTACAGGAGATGTCAGCGGTTGTCATCAAACCACAATGGCGGTGCATTGGTTGTAGAACTCACATCTGAGGGTCAAAGATGCTGGTAGGGGGCTCGACAATGGCGGCGGTGGAGTTGTAAGCCTGGACCTGGAAGATATCGCCCTTGGAGTTGCTCACGACAGCAATAAGCTGGAGGAGAACATCCTGGGGGTTGGCGTCGAGAGCAAAGGAGTATGGAACAGCCTTCTTGTCGCCAGCCTCGATGGTCAGGTCGTAGCGGGCAGCCGTCAGGTTGCGGATGATGCTGTCACTGGGAAGGGAGTCCTCGGGAAGCTCCTGAGTGGAAGACAGGGTGCCGCCAACCATGGCGACCTGAATCGGCGCATCCTCATTGTTGGTGAACTCGATCAAGGCCTTGGTGGGGTGGCCATTGACGATCTTCACACCAAAGATGTCAGCATCGGGGAAGGTGGTCTCGATGTCAGCCTTGAGGGTCGGGGGAACAGCGTCGGTGTCGACCTGGTGATGGTTAGCAATGAGCATCAGGGGTGCTAAAATGTCAAGAAACATTACGTACAGGGGCCGCCTCGGCAGCGAAGACGCCGGAGATGGGCAGGGCCAAAAGGGCCAGGAGCGAGGACCTGAGGTAAACCATTGTAGTGACGACGAGGGACAAGCAGTTGGATGCGACGTGACCAGTTCAACGATCGCAAGCAAGGTTGACTGGAGTGGGGGAGAAGGGAAAGGAGGAGGGAGGTAAGGAGGAAGATGGGAAGTGGCAGATGGAAGATGGAGATGGAGACAGATGGAAGGGGGGCTGGGGCAAACCCAATTCAACTCAGATCGCGTGCGTCTTTGCGCTGAGGTGTCAGGTTGGATAGGTAAGGTGGGCGGGAAATAAAAGTGTGCGTGAGGTGGGTGATTCAGCAATGGGAAAGAGAGGCAGACTGGACAACCGTGGACTGGGAGGCGACAACAGCAAGGTGGCCTCACAGCAATCGATCCACCACCGCCTTGGAGAAAAAAGGGACCTGCCTCGCACCGCGGCCACGGCCTCGTCAATTGAGCTGTTGGCCAATGAAGTGCCTGACGCACTGCGGAGCTACCCCATGGTGCAAGTGCCACATGGAGAACCAGCCACCAGCTTCCAAGCGAGTGGGGCACCTCAAGCTTAGCTGGCGCGCTGGGCAGCTTGACGACCCAATCATAAGGTAGCTTCCCTCGGCCAGGGAAGGGAGCTGTACTTCAACGTCAATAATGTACCGTGAGGTAAGTACGAAGGTAGATGCCGGTATGACTTCCAGGTTGAAGATAGCACGAGAGTGCCAAGGTGATACTCGCGCCCAGCCAAAATCTTGAAGTAGTGCCCTCCACACTAAAGGACTTCATCAAAGCATTGAATCAACGGACCAAGAATACTGTCAAGATATTCATTACCTCCTTACCGACCCGACTACCGTGACGCCGCCATCCATTGTGGCCATCTCAGCTGATCCTCTAGCTGAACTGTAACAGTACATAGAAAATGCAAATCCCACCCCCTTTGCCAAAGGATTATAAGTCATACACAAGTTATTGCCTCGTCCTAAACCATCCCTCAGGCAGTCATCATAGTTTGTGCCGTTTCATCTATGCCACACCTCCACGGATCGCGCTTGCTTTTGGTTTTGGTTCTGGTATGTTGCTCCTGGAAGCCACGCCCATCGTCTGCAAGGTTTGTTTGCCTTGCCCTCTAGAGGAACCTTCCTCCAACGCCAAAACAACCTGGCCGCGTAGTAAAGAAAAAAACAAAATCGACTCGGGCCAACCGAAAAGTAGTGAAAGGTTGAGTAAGAAACCAGTCATTGGTATCGTCAAGTCGTCCAGTGTCGTCAACGGACCGCGCGGGCGGTCTAAAACATTGTGTAAAAAGAGTTGCCGGCGGTTCATCAGTCGTTGCGTCTAAAGCCCGGACCTGTTGTCCAGCCGTACTCGCAATCGTGGTATTATGATAGCCGCCGCAGTTGCAACCAATATCGCGTCGGGTGTCGCTTAGGAGAAGAAAAAGGTCGTTGCATCGAGCCAAGTGCCCCGCGGGCGCACGGGGAAGTCCCTCACATGATGCGTCATCGGTGGTCGAGCACAATTGTCCCACTAGCTCTGGAGCTCGACCATCGGCTTGCCATGATGAGGTTGGCCAGCGTTGCCGTCGATCTCGGCAAAGTCATAAGCCGCCGCACGGCCTGTAGACTGGCGAACAGCGGGCAGGGTGAAGCCCTTGGCAATCTCCGTCTCAACGTACTCAGCAGCGCGCTTGTATCGCTTGTCAGAGTACTTCTCAAAGACCGCAAGGTGGTGCTTGCGTGGGTTGTAGCAGCACTCGAGGATCATAGTAACTAGGTTCTTGAGCTGGCCCCAGGTGTATCCAGAATAGTGGACATGCGCAGGAGTCTATTTTCATTGTTAGCGGCTTGGTATAATAAACCTGTAGGAGTAGACATACCCAGTCACCCTTCTTCAGGATCAAGCGAGACAGGCAGTGCGCGGCAGCAGCGAGGAAGCTGGGAGGGCTCGCAACGAAGCGCTCGTCCATGATGGTCACCTCCAGAAAGTACTTGGCCAATGTGCGCGTCTCCAGGTCGTAATCATCCGCCTTGCTAACGCGACGCAAGAAGCTCATCGGACCAGGGAAGCCGAGCTCGAAGCTCAACATGCTAAGCATGAAACGCTCAGCCTTGAGGATCTCGTCAACCTTGTAGCCGTTATCTACCATGAAGACGATCTCCTGCAGCGACGGGCAGTTGATCTCCTCGTACTTGGAGGCAACGAGCAATGCGGTTGCACCAACGAGCTGAAGCTTGCCGATCGATACAACCTTATACGAGAGGAAGCGATCGATGTAGTTGACGGTCAAGAAAAGCGTCTCCGGAAGCAGGCTGAATCGGTGGTGAACTTGAACGAGCCAGTCCATCAAGACGGAGCGCATGGACCATTGAATCTCGGCCTGGTTGTCCATGTAGTGAGGGTCAGGCAACATTCTCATCTAGAAGTATGATGATTAGTAGATGCCTGTCTGAAGGCTATACGGGGCACACAAACCTCAAGCTCCCTCATGTACTCAAAGATGTCATCTCCATACTCTGCAACCATGCAGACATCCCAGATCTCGTCGTCAACCTCTTCCTGGGTGCGGGTACTTTCGACGATGGCACGGGCAGTCTCCAACTCTTGCTCGACCTTGTCGGTAATCTTAGGAGCGAGTATAGTGGTTGCGCCGCCCGTAGTAAGGTCGCCGCGGGAACGGTATGAGTGGGCAGTCGTGTAGCCCTGGTCGTCGTAGAGCTCTTCTTCGTCATCCTCGTCCCAATACTCCTCCGCCTCCGACATGTTTGGAACACCCAGTGATTCGGAAAGAGGCTCCAGGGAGCTAAGCTTGTCAACGGCAGCATTCGATGATACAATATCCTCAGGTAGTTCGCTATCCGGAACGTCCAGCGAGCGTCTGTGGTAGGGGCCATGGTACTGTTCTTCGCCAATGTGCTCGACGGCATCCTCGTAGGTAGCCTCCGTCACATCATCCATAGACTTCCAGGCTGCCGCAGCAGGAGCAGCGGGTGCAGGGGCTGTGGTCAGCTTGCTTTGTGTCCGTCGCAAAACATGCGCAGCAGGCTCCTTCTTAAGCTGAGGCTGAGACTTGTGGTGACGAGGCTGTTTGCCAGAGGTTGACTCTGAAATTGGGTCCTGGGCCACGAATTTGCTCTTGGAGGGACGAGCCTCGTAAAGCTGAGCAGCGGAGGATCTCTTGGCAACCTGCTTGTTCTGAGTCTTGGGCTGCTTCCACTCCGCAGTCACGGGTCCGTTCTTGCTGCTGAGGGCTGTGGCCCGCTGAGCGGCCTTGAAGAATCCATCTTTGCCATTGACCGCGTTCTCCTTGTTGTAGATGTGATCCACAGCCTTGCCCTTACCCGCAGTCTGGTCGCTGGGAAGCGAAATCAGGTTCTTCACGGTGTTGCTGACGTCGCCGAATGCGGTTCGCTTAGCAGCAACCTGCAGAGCGCCGTTGCGAGGCATGGCTTGCAGGTTACCGGTAGACTTGTGTCGCTGGTGAAGAGAATCGTGTTTCGAAGGGATGATGTTTTCGTTGCCACCTGGGTGGACTCTGAGGCGCTGAGGCTGTTTGAGTCAAGTCAGTCGATAGTTTGAGAAAGTCGCCCTTGCTTGGTCCTTGGGGCGAGGTACGCGGGCGTGGTGGTTACGAGGGAGGATAGTGACTTACTCTAGCGTCCATCGCGACTGCTGGTCTTGCAGATAGCTACCTTAGTGCTGCTGGTTGAATCTGCTCGGGAGGGCACCTTTGTGGGGCAGTGAAGAATTATGAAGGCGCGCAGTGGATGTTGATGTGATTATCGTGGAACTGAGAATAATTGCGCGTGGGATAGCATGTAAACACCACAGTGACTCGGTTGGCCGTGTTGTGGAAAGTCGTGGTCCCCAATTGCTGCCGATCAGATACGGGCACGGTTGGTCAGAGTGAAGGGATGGGCGAGGGACGGGAGATTGCGACGGGTAGGGATATAAAAGAAGGGAAGGTCGGTTTATCTCTGCGGGATGGTAGAGGATAAGAACCAGGCCCGGGCTGCCTCGACAACGACCAAAGTGGAGGAAGGATGGGGACGGGGATGTAGAGTTTGGAAGCAACTCTTGATGGGAAGAAAAAAAGGTCTCAGCCAAAAAGCTGCACGATGGGTAACTGCCACGGCGGGCGGCTTATGACCAAAAACGGCCTGGTAAGGTTGGAGCGGCCAGAATGTGCAGTGGACTTTTTTGGGTTGTTTACTTCCGTGTTTGTCAATACAGCTGAGAAATCCGAGGTACGCACCGGAGACGCGGTACCAACGCGCCACCTCATTGGCTGAGAGCGATGGAGCCCCACCGTTGGCCGGTCGATGGGTGGGTCTCAGCATCATCGCCGCGGGGCCAATTGAGCTCACTTCGTACGTTCGTATGCATTTACCTTACCTTACTCCGTATGCTTCCTTCCAATGGGCTCTGTCTCCGATACCATGTTTTGGACAGCCCATGTCTCTACGCAACGATGCGCATGAGCAAATCCGGGGACCTATGCTCGAGCAATGCGTTGCGAAAGCAAGGCACGAGTCTTCTGTCATCGTTTCACCTAGACCACACAATACACTACCACACCGTCCTAGACAACCATCGTTGTTGTTTTCCAACTTCTGTATTGTTTGCGCCAAATACTACCTGACTATCTTCCCAGACCAATCTTCTACAGCGAGACGCCGTTCGTCACCCGTTTCGATAATCTCTCCCCTTTTCCAAGCTCGACACTCCCTTTACCAACGGCTTCTTACGAAAATCCTTTGTCCATTGTGCTACTGAAACCTGCAACGTCCACCATTAGCTTGGCTCCCGCTCGAGAACACAAAGGCAGCCGACCCACGTTGGCCTCTAGAACGTTGGGCGACTCGTGGAAGGAACGCCATAGCGGCCCAGAACAAAAAGGCATACGAAACGCATCGCTTCGAGGCTCGAAGTCGTTGAACGGTTCCTAACCAGCCAAGCCTCGCCTACCGTTGTCCTCTCCTCCGGCCTTTCAGCTCTGCAATCCAGCCTATCCAGAAGAAGCCACGCCCGAAACCGAAACCCATCGTACTCCGAGCTGTGATATCAGCACTTGCCACGGCACCTGTTGTGGCGAACGTGGTCCTTGGAGTTTGAGTGCGTTATATTGAACTGTAACCATGGTCTTTGTTCTGTCGGGTGTTCCTGAATACGTTGCCTCTGGTCTCTTTCTCTACTAATCAATCTGGCTTAGTTCCGACATGTGCTGGAGTTCCACGCTCGTAATTACTGCCTCACTCACACAAGACCTTTCTGACCTTCGTTGTGTTCTTTTCCTCGGCACTCTCGACGCAATACCAGGTCCTGGGTACAACCTCTCAAAGCTCCCTGCAATCCCAAGTGATACTATGAAGCCGTAGTTGCGACCGAGCTTTAGTTACCTATATCTAGAAGCAATTATTCACCTAGATATTCTCTCGAGAGCCTAGACAAATTTGGCTCTTAATATACTCAACGTCATGGTGAAATAGAGTATTCTTCGGGGGAGGAAAACATGTGTTTGACAGACTGATACTACTTCGGATCATCACGATCAAAATTAGGTGGTTATTGAGTTTAACTCAGCGACTCCTACGAGATTCCACAGTGGGATACATATTCTTACTATCTTCTGTAATTCGGACAATAAAGAGCTCCAGCTAGGGAACATTCGTATTAAACGCAGGCACGAGCCTTGGCCTCTGCCGCCTGCTTTGCCCTTCCTCCAACTGCCAATGATTCAAGTGTCTTTGCGATGTACTTCATACTCGAGTGCGCACAATTGCATCGAAGCGAACCGAGCTGTTCTGGATTGCCGTATCTTCATTATTCCTTGGAGAAGACTTTGAGGACTCAATTGATGGGACTGGAGCATGGTACGTCTCATTCCATCATGTCTTGTTATGATGTAACAAATTTGCAAGGGCCAACAATTAATGGCAGAGAAAAAGCACCACGGAAGCGCTTGCAAATAGAGGCTAATTGATAAGAACAGACAGTCGGAACAAAGACATAGGCTGGGCGAATCAAGTATAGTGCTATTAGAGACATACCAGCTCCCCTTATTTGGCCAGGTATCCCAACCAGCAGGCACACGTTTGTGCAAAGCCGTCTGGCAAGGCATGCCGGTGTGACTAGGGAACAATATGGTGAATCATCTCGAAGGATATATCATGTGATTTAATTGATCTTGCCTTATTTTTTCTCAAGACTGCTGGAGTTATTAATACCGTTCATATGAGGGCAGGATTGCCATGTTCGTCGTCGAGACCATTTGTTTTCGGGGCCATCCACGTGCTCTGTGCATGGGCCAGCAAAGTTGTCTTTTGATATCAGCATCTCAGCCTCAGGCTAGCACGCTTTTCTCGAATGGTACCTGCTGTTGATACTTGGAGGGATAGGTAGGGTATCAGCGGCATCGAAAGCCGCGAATCGGGCTCGTGAATTGGAAATTGCGACTGGTGATCATGCTCGTTTTGTTTCCACCATACCAACTATGGGACGGTTCGCCAATATTTCGCTTGCAGAAGCTAGCTACTCACGTTTATCTCGCATGGCTTTACTCCCATCTGAATAGTTCTGCACAATCATTAAAGCGCACAAAAATTCGAGGGCACCAGTAGCAGACAGATACAGCACCGAATGGAAAAGGAAGCTTAAATTCTGTGTGAAACGGAAATCCGGAAACCGATGGAAAGACCAGACGGCAGGAATGACGGGAAAACCTCGGTATCCCCATCCCCTGTCGTCATGCTTTCGCAATTGTGGAAAGGGCAACGCTAGTCCAAAAGGGGGAAATGATTTTGATCCTCCTCTTACCGTCGCGTCTTCCGAATACCGTTCAAAGGAACACATCGCTCAACATCATCAGCAAAAAATCATACAAACTCACAAAAAGCCACCATACCATATAAGGGATGATATTGAAATCAAATTTGAGGTCAAAAGTCTTGATATGGACCGGAGGTTGACAGTTTCACCCCGCAGACCACGATCCGCTGACCGCGCCCTCACTTGACACCAATTAACCACGAAGTCACGTGATGAAATCGTCACACGTTCCCGCTCTGTAGCGGAGCTCGCCTCCAAAGGCGCCGCATCATCAGCGTTGCGACTCACGCAAGTATCGATGTAAAACCTTCTCTTGAGGCACCCCGGCGCCTTTGCACCACGAACTTGCGCAAGGCCCCTCCCACAACGCAAGTTGTTCGACCTGGCGCAACTGGCGACAAATGCGACGGAATTGGACGTACGCGCCTGGCCCGACACCTTGCGACCGGCATGAGCAGATCCATCCTGCAGAGCTGTCGTTTCTGGCCAGTCGCATTGGCGCAACGCGATGCGCCTGAAGCATCTCCTTTGTTTGTTTTGATCAAGAACAGAATTGCGACTCGTCGGACGTCGGGCCATGTCTCTTGTCAGCCTCTCCAGCTGCATGATGGAAAACGAGGGGAACCATCAGGGACCGGCTGGGATGTGCGCAGACAATTAATATTTCTGCATGATGAGCACAACTTCTCCTTCCCACCCCTCATCGATGACCCGCCACGCAAGCTGCGCTAGACGGGACGACCTCCTTTCCAGGCACAAGGTCGAAGGCTCGAGGCCCGGGGCTGCAACTGGACGGAGGGCGCCGCAATTGCATCTGATTGGATTCGGCGCATTTCTCTTTCGCACGCGCACTCTTTGCTCATGCCAGGCTCTACAGTCGCACAGCACCACCTTCCATCACCTTGCGACGGAGTGTCTTGAAATGGGCCGCATAGCTCAGCTTGACTGACGGATATCATGACCATTCCGTCGCGACTCGCCATTGATTTTCGAGCATCGGGGGATATTGCGTAACAGTTTGAGAGGGAACTACTAGCTCAATACGAAAGCTCCCAGGGCTTAGCACATATGCGACGGCTCCGAACATGCCCCCTGCAACCTGTCGCAGACTTCAAGCACAAAAACTGGATACCCACCGGCAGTGCAAAGCCAGAATGAGCGCACGGTACGCCAGCTGTCCTGGAAGACCCTTTGCCCGTCGCATTGCCTCTTCTCATTGTCTTTCAAACTGTCGCGCTCAGCAGAGCAGTATCGACCAACAGCTTCTCAGGCTTGACGGGAGAGAAATATCAAAAGAGTACGAGGGGGAGCGAGTGTGTGCGTTTGTCTACCTTGACGGTATTCGAAGGCGCGCGCGTGTGCGCAATCGCACACACACAGTCGCAATCCATTCCGACTAGCTCACCCCATCCGATGCTCCACGACTCACGAGACCTTATGGCCTCAGAGACTCCTATGGAAGAACGGTGAAAGAGGGGCAGACGTGGCGTGGCAAAAGCTACCCAGCCATGCGAAAAGAATAGTAGGTCGAGTGTGACGCACCAGGGTCGCAGAATTTGACTGATGCCGCCTCCGCTCTATCGTTTCTCTCCGCCAAATGCGTTGAAGCCACCATGCGCGGGAAAGCGCCGATCCTCCCGGTAGAATCCAGCGACACACACACTCCCACACAGCTCCATTTCTAGCTCGGTGGTACCCGTTTGTATCCCAAACCAGCGACCGGCAGCAGAGCCCGCGATTGACAAGATGGACTCAAGCGACCAATCGAAGACGAGTCGCAGATATCGTTAGGTTGGGCTGGTCTGTGTTGTTTCTCTGAGTTTTGCGCTGGTGGCGGTTGTGGATGAACATGGCATCGCATCGCATCGCATCGCATGGCATCGCATCGTACCGGGATAGGGTCCACGAGCTAATCGGGTCGAATGGGCGCAACGACTGGGCCGACACGCAGACCACGACTGCTCCTGAATCCTGAGAAATATGTCGATTCGCTGTCGGAATCTTTTCGCCTCCTCAAACTCCATCAAGAGAGCAAAAACAGGGTCCAACAAAAAGGCATCGACTGTTCCATTCCCACAAGCCGACCAGTCCAAAGTTCAAACCTCGACGTGGCAGTGGAGCCCCAACCTGCGAGGTAACGCAAAACAAAGAGCAACAAGCTGCGTTCAGGAAGGATAGCTCATCCCTGCGAGGAGATCTGGAGCCTGGGCGCAAAAGTCTCGCCAGGTATCGCACACCGTTCTTTTGAGTGCGGCCGGCTCCTGAACTCCCCCGATTGGCGAAAAGGGACTTGTTGGGGCCTGCAAAACCCAGTGCCAGTTCATCAATACTTCTCCGCACTGCGCTCACTGGCAGGGCCGCAAAGGAAGAGATACACACTATACACTCAAGAGGCAGGCGAAAGAAGATGCGTGGATGCGTCGAGCGATCCACACATGCCGTCGTCCCTCCATGCCATCCCATTCTGTCGCAAAGCGCGAGAGAGAGAGAGGAGGGGGAGGAGAGGTGCCAATGACTGTTGTCGGTGTCACCTTTCTATCTACCTGAAGTGGGGATTTCTCAAGGCCAAGCCGTCGAGCCTTTGGAGCAAACGCAGCAGGCGAGCGGAGGGGAACTCGGGATGACGGCCAAGACCTTGCCCATTTCCTCGGCCTAGTTCTTTTATGTTGTCTATTCGTACCTCCATGGTGATTCGGCAGCGACATGACACTTGAAACCCCCGACCAGCGCATACAACCGTAACATGACGGCCTGAACCAATCTTGCTTCACGCTACAAACCGTCCCCCCAGCCACCTCATCTATCAAGCTCGCGGATCGAGCATCTGATCATGTCTGGTTCCTGGCCCTACTAACAGAGCCAAAGATAGGTATGCGCAGGTGCGAAAATCCTCGTGCGCATAGCACTTCCGTGCGAAGGCGCACTGGGGTCATGCTGTGCAGAGAGAGCAGAAAGGTCCGGACAGCAAGTGGCCTCGATACCGTGTACTATCGGATGTCTGCCCCTCGCCATTGAATAGACGTAGACTTTGGCCGTCTATCTGGGACAGACCTATATGTTGTTGCTTTCTCGGCCCCATGCTGCTGGACGGGGACCCATCCGAACAACACCATGAAACGAG